AGCATGGTTGGGGGCCCAGACCCTTACCTGAAGGAATTTGGCATTGTTGTGCACAATGACATGACAGAGGTGACGGGGCGTGTCCTCCCAGCGCCCATGCTACAGTATGGGGGCCGGGTGAGTACAGACACAGGGAGGGACTGTGGCAGGGTGAGTACTGGGCAGGGGCTACACTCTGGGGGCGCAAAGCTGACTGGGAGCACACAGGGTGGGGGGCATTATGGAGTGAATGCTGGGAGATGGGGGAAGATCCAGTTGTGTACAGGCTACTCAGAAAGGGGACAGATGTGAGATCTGATTCATCTTTGATAATTGGCTGCATTTTGATCAGAAAATAATGAATGAATGAAATCAGTGAATGTTTTTGTCACAGCAAAGTTGACTAATGAATTTTTGAAATGGTTAAAAATGGACTGGCAAGCGTTACACTGAACAGTGTAGCGATTACATGCAGTTTACCTGGAAGTTTGAAATAACGGCATTAGTTTGTCACTACAACATTCAGGTAGTGTTTGCAGTGCTGTAAGACCTGGATCTTGCCCCATGTTATAATCCTGTGGTTTATCTCGGCAGTCTTGGTGTGTGCATCTCCATTACATACTGTTTTCCCTTAGTGACACAGCTACTAAGTGTGTAAATATTGCATTACAGATAGATGAGGCCTTGGCTTCTCACTTATTGCATTCAGTATGAAATCAGAATAAAAGAAACAAGACATTAGTCACTGAAGACTGCTGAGATTTACCTGCTGAGTCTCAGATCAGCCATTTAGAAAACCTTAAGTAGACCTGTATGGACCTGAAAAGCAGTTATTTCCACTCAGCTCATCAACTGGGAAAATTTTACCCATTTAAAAGTATTATATTATTATTTTTAAATTAATTAATTAATTAATTTTTTACTAAAGTACCGACCTCTGACTCCTTTTACTGCTTGGTTGTACAGCATGAGAGGCTGAAGTGGGATTCAAGGATTGTATGTAAGGGGAAGAAACATATGTGTTGTCAACAGGAGGACGAGAAGACTCAAAGCCATGCAGCCTTAAAGTAAAATTGGTCTAAAATATTTGCTTGTAAAGCCTGTAGAGTGAATTTGTAAAGTGAACCTCAATATGAGAATGTACATACTACAGGGCCTAGAATATAACACTCCATTCACAGATGGCATACAATGATTATGCTAAGATAAGATGAAACTTTAAAGATGCCTGTGAAGAAGTTGGTTCAGGCTTTGGCTGTCTCTCTGTACGTGTTCCTCTACATAATTAAAGCACATTGTTTTCTGAAAAACTGCCAGTGCCAAGCTTAAAGCACATATTTGGTGCCTGAACTCTTGTCGATTTATTTAATTAGGATTCTGTCATAACACTTATTGTGAAAAACTTGGCCACTTGCCTGCTGGGATATTGAGTCTGATCGGCTTCCAGTGAAGTGCCTTGAAAATGTAGACTGAAAGCTTCCCCATCCCCAGTGGCACGCTGATGTTGGTGCACATGCATCAAAGACAGATGGTCTCCGATGAGACTGTATGTACAGTGTGTGAGATGGGAAAGGCTACAGTCTGTTTCCTGTGTAGCATGCACTAGGAAGTTTTTGCTTGCATTATCCTATAATAATTTATTAGGTAGTTTTTACAACTTTGCTAATGATTTGGAGAAACTTAACTTTTCTTGGCATATTACTCAAGTAGTTTATTGTGGTTACTTGTTTTGGAGAATAAAGCTTTTAATGGTCTCTGGCAAATCTTATTAACTTAATTAAAGGCCACTGCCCTTTGGATTTGTATTCACAACCGCTCT